CTTCCTCTCTTTTGTATGTGTTGAGGTCTTTTTTTTTCTCAGCCATTTGGATACTCTTTCAAAGGTGTACTTTCTAACTTTCGCGTAAAACTTGTCTCAAATGAAATATTCCATAAGCTTTGCCTTGGTGTCGCTTGTGCCGGTGCACATGGGGAAGTGTATCCAAAGTTTCGACCTCTGTGGAGCCGCTAGTCTTTCTTTCTTGTTGCTGCTGCTGCTACTGGCTGTTCCGCTGCTCTCCACTTGCCAACAATCAACTGCTTGTCGTTGCTCACCTTCGCTGTTGCCGCTGCCGCTGCCGCTGTTGTTGCTATCCATCTACTTCGTAGCTTAAAAATTTCATTTGCCATTTCAGTCAGTTGGCTTTTAAACATTTACTGAAACAGATCGGCGTCGCGCAAAATACAAAAAAAAAAAAGTTGTTTATATTTTTAAGACAAAATAAGAATCAAAAGAAATAATATTTATTCATCAAGTTAGGCTGTTTGTTGTGGTGTTTTTTGTGCCAGGATTGTGTCTTGATTCAATGAAGCAAAATATTGTATTGTATCATTTTGTTTAATTAAAGAAAACAAGCATATAATTGTTTTCTTCAGCATGGAAAACGCTTTCAAGATGGCGTCGTCTGCGAAAATCGTAAAAGCCTAAAAAGAAGAAGTGGCAAAAAAGAGTGGAAATATTGTGAGCAAATATTGGATGATTCAATGTAATGCCAATGGAAAGAAATGGCATTTTATGATGATAATATTTAATATATATTGAAGGAAATATTACTGGAAATATAGGGAAATACTACAGAAAATATGACGACAATGTCTAATAAAATATTCATAGAAATATGTTAATTATATTTAGAATGAATTAGTATGGTAAATTGATAATATATTAAATAAAATATTACGCAAATATATACGAAAAAATGTTGAAAGAAATTAAGGAAATATTGAAAGAAATATGAGAAACCTAATTTTGAATATTCCAAGGATTAATATTATGAAAAAAGTGAAATAATAATATGATCATATATAGAAATATTCAATGAGGTATTTTAAAAATATAAAGAATTATTAAATGAAATCTTATTTTACTGATATTCTGAAATATTGTAATAAATACTGCAATATTCTAAAGAGTTATTCAAGAAACGATAATAATATATACAAATATTATGAATAAATATTGAAAACTGCTTTGCCGAAAGCGCACTGCTTTGTGGAAGCACAGGAAGCACCTCTCTCGTCTCGATACTTTTTTTGAGGGCCACTCCATTCCGCTCGAGAGCCGCTTAACGGTAAAAGCCGCCGCTTGTAGACGGACGCTTAAAGGTCAACAACAAACCGATAGCTAGCATGAAAATGCCAGTGCAACAACAACAACAACAAAAACAACAACAGCACAAACAACTGAAGCAACAATTGCGACGACTACGACAACAAATTGCAAAAAGGAAGCAACCATAAAACCAGTTATCCAACATCAGAAACAGCAACAACCTGAAACTGTAGTTGAAAGAATTGCAAATAAAATAAAACAAAAAATTAAAACAGAAAAAAAAATACTGTATAGACTGAATAAACGATTTATGTGAAAGTGAATTGACACAATTACGGAAAAGAGGAGCCGAGTCGACTGCTATATATAGATTATTCGTAGAGTTGGAGAGTGAGTGGAGTCTTCTCGAAGCCAACGCGAAGAAGTCTCTTCTCTATCAGCAGAGGAATATCGAGGAAGGCAACAACTATGATGCTTTTATCGGCATTGAAGCTGGGTAAGATGATCGTCATCATGTGGGAATGAGTTGTTCTTTAAGCTTAAAAACTAGATTTAAAATTAGCTATGAAAGGGTTTGGAGATGTTGGTGATTTTTAAATTGCTTGTAAAACTTTAGGAACACATCAAACCTAGTGTAAAGCTCACATGTTGTCTTGCCTTTTATTATAAGCCAGTAGACCAGTATCTGGGGCTTTGAATTGTGGTGGTGGCCCCTGATCTTGTCGCAGTATTACTTTTGTGGGCGTTTTCTCTCCACTTTGTCGGTTGCTTGAGTCATCGTCCAATCCATGTGGTGGATTGTGGTTTCACCTGCTCGAATACCGAATACTAATACGAAAACGAATACAAATACTCCCCCAGCAAACACGTGTTTGAAAGTCTCAATTGGAAACTGTTTGGATTTCACTGTGAGATATTCTCGAGGTCTGATGCAGCTGCAACAACAATAAAAACAAGAATTCCAATTTGCATAACAATTTGAAATGGGAGGGATGGGACGGTACGGCAGGGGAGGGGTATAGTAAAAAAAAAAACTGCATCAAAGACAATGAACAATTACACAATTAGCTATAAATACTTTTTGTACAGCGATAATGACAAAATGTTGTGTGTTGCAAGTGGCCCCGCATCTGGACAGATAGAGATATGAAAGTGGTGCATGCCACCGCATAATAGTACTCTCCTCTCTCTCCTCTAACCATTTATGAGGCAATTTATGAGAAGCATCGCGTTCATAAATGAAAAATGTACTTCCGTTGTGGCCAATTTTCAAGTGTGTGTGGAAAATTGATTAAAGAAAAATCAACCTGCTTTGCAAAATGAGGAGAAAACTGAAAATCGAGCTGAAAACTCCAAATACTCTTTAAGTTGGGGAAATAATGGGGAACTTAAAGAAATTTACTCTAAATGGTGTTGCTTAAAGATTATTTTTATTGTATTTTTTGTGTAAGCTCTTTCTTTAAAGATAATTAAAATCGTAAGAGGAATTTCTGAATATTCATTTAAATATTCCACGATATTCCTTTCTTAAGAAGACCCCCCCTCCCCAATAATATTTATTTGTTATATTTAATATTTATTTTAAATTTGTATTATTTTTTTTTTGAATTTATAAGTATGGGGCCTGGCCCACACTCTCTCAAAACGAGTCGCCAAAAACATTCATAAATCACAACAACCTCTTGTTGGATGGAAACATTGCAATTTTCCTATGATTATACAGTGTATACGAGAGAGTGAAAATGCCTCAAGTGCTTTTCATTTGCATGGTGGCTGGAAAATCGTTAAACAAAAGCCTGAAAACAACAACCGGCAAGTGTACGGAAAGTATCTGAGAGTGTGTGTACAATATCAGTATCTACGAGTGTGTGTGTGTGTGAGTGCTTGTGTTGTGTCTCTAGCTTTTGCTATGGGAAAGAAAAACTTTCTATTTTAGTTTCAATCTCTGTAGGAGTAGGCGGGGTACGAGGGTACGATACAAGTATTGTATGAATAGTTGGAGTGCTGCTGCTGCTGCTGCCTCGAAGGCTTATGGCTTTTGTTGTCATCTTTTGCCGGCGCACGTTTTGCTGCTGCCGTTGTTTGTTGAAGCTAAAAGATGGTGGGATGTGGTGGATGGTGGAGGGATTTTCACATGAAAAATGTGTGTTTGTCTGTTTGTCTCCGAGGAGGAGGTGAAGTCGAAGAAAATTGGCTTATCAATTGAAAGTTGGTGGCACAAACTGCAGGGCAATTTTAGCACTTGATTATACATACATACATATATGATTCATTATACATACATATGTATGAATGTACAACTGTATATGGTATATTGAGAAATCGCTAACTGCTTGCCACTTTCGCTTTACGATTTAACCTTCACTTTTAATTTTTTTTTGCTTCAATTTCGATCGCTCGATCGCAATTCTCGCCAGGCAGAGGCGCCACCCACTTGAGGAACACACACACAACATACTCCTCCTCCTCCTCCACCTCCTCCTCCTCCTCAAAAAATCATCCACTCCGAACGGATCGGAACGGTTTGGGTTGACTCATGATGGACTCATGGATTGGGGATTGGGGCACCACCATCGCCACCAGATTGCATAAGCGAACGCCCACTCAACGTCTCTTGACTCTGGCATTTAAGTTTCGTTTTTTATCTTTATTTGTTTTTATTTGTTTCTTGAACTGAAGCACTTTAATTGGGGTTACACTTTTGAGTTCACTTTTGACGTGCCACATTATTATTATTATTATTATAACACAAAAAATCGTTTTAGTTTTTAAGTTTTTACTTAGACCAAAGTCCACGAACGCGGAGAGCTGCAGCTCATCCAATCATCATCAGAGTTTTGTGGGCGAACGAATGCCTTGAACCATTGAAAATCGCTGTCAAATGTATTCAGTGTCGTTCGGTTAGCCCCCCAAATTAATTATTACCTTGACAAGAATTTGGCAAAAAACTACAAACAAATTTTTAAGGCGATTTGGCGATATTTTTGTCGATGGCTAATTAATTGGCTGGACAGCCCTGGGCATACACTCGTACGTTGCTCTTTTTCAAAATGAAAATGAAACAAAAGACTTGGAAAACGAACTTTGTATACGTTCGTACTGCGCACGAAATTCGGTCCACATTTGAGTGGAATATATTGCAATGAAATAGTTCTTGAATTAATTAAATATAATTATTGTAAATGCGGGAAAAAAATTAGTGTTTAAATAAATGTTTTGTATGACAGAATTCATTTCAATCGACCACTGACTAGCCTAACAATAACCGATTTATTCGGTAGATTAGAATTTCAGAGCAAAAAAAAAAACAAAAATAAATAACAACAACAAAAATACACCATTTTCAGCAAATCTGGAATCAAGCAACAATGTGCCGTGTCATGTGCACGCAATGTATGTTGTTTATGCAATTCTCGAGCGTTTTCTTGCAGCATTTGCTTGTGCATGTCGAGCATGGGAGTAGTTGGAAGCATAGTTCGGGTATTATAGACGTAGATGATGCTCTATATGATGGTTAATGCTCATTCACTATGATACCCATTCGTGGCTCTTCGTTCAAATGTTGTGCTAGTGAGCAGACAACATCAGTGGAATTTATTCTAGCCTGCACTTTAATTCCCTCATTCATTTACTTCTTGTGTGAAAACTTCTTTTATTTATTTCTTAAAATAAATTAATTTATTTCGTTCTATAATTTCTAATTTCTTGAATTTTATTATATTTTCCAGGCAACGGCAGTTCTCCAGCCCAGAATTCAACGCGCAGCATCAGTCCGAACAGTTCCACGACCAACAGTCAATTCAGTTTGCAGCACAACAGCTCCGGGAGCCTCTCGGGCGTCGGTGTGGGCAACGGCAACGGCGTCGTTGTCGGCGGAGGCATTGGCCTGGGAGTAGGCGGAGGAGGCGGCAGTTGCACGCCCACATCGCTGCAGCCACAGGTGAGTTTTTGGCGCCAGAGGGGCTGCTAATTACTCACGAAAGACAAATGTTATAACAACTTTCTTGTCTCTTAGTCCTCGCTGACAACTTTCAAGCAATCGCCAACTTTATTGAACGGCAACGGAACTCTATTGGATGCCAATATGCCTGGGGGTATACCAACGCCTGGAACTCCAAATTCCAAAGCCAAGGTAAGGATTTACCCAATTCCATAAGCTGAATATATAAACGGGAATTTTATAGCCGTGTTAGGCTATATTCTCAGGGATATAACGCTCTTAAAAGTATCTCTAATAATTGTTTTCTCGTATCGTTTCAGGACAATTCACATTTTGTCAAATTGGTGGTGGCTCTGTATCCCTTTAAGGCCATCGAAGGTGGAGATTTATCTCTAGAAAAGGTAAGCAATGAAATTAAAACCTTTCAAAATAGACACATATAAATATAATGGGATTATATTTTATCCTTTTTAGAATGCCGAATACGAGGTCATTGATGATTCACAAGAGCATTGGTGGAAGGTCAAGGATACTATAGGAAATGTCGGCTATATACCCAGCAACTATGTCAAACCCAAGGCTCTATTGGGCCTCGAACGTTACGAGTGAGTAAAGAATAAAAAACCCCTTCAACTTTAGGGTCTGTATAATCCCAATTTATGTGTATTCTTTTCTAGATGGTATGTGAGCGACATGTCACGACAACGTGCCGAATCTCTGCTAAAACAGGGCGACAAGGAGGGCTGCTTTGTGGTGCGCAAGTCATCGACCAAGGGTCTCTATACACTATCGCTGCATACCAAAGTGTAAGCTGGGAACAACTGAGAACCGTTTAGCAGAGATTCATCATTCAAATTCTTCTCTATTTGTAGTCCACAATCCCATGTTAAACACTATCACATCAAACAGAATGCCCGCTGTGAGTATTATCTGAGCGAGAAGCATTGCTGCGAGACCATACCGGATTTGATCAACTATCATCGCCACAATTCTGGTGGATTGGCCTGCCGCTTGAAGTCCTCGCCCTGCGATCGTCCTGTGCCACCAACAGCGGGCTTGTCGCACGACAAATGGGAGATCCATCCCATGGAACTGATGCTGATGGAGGAGCTGGGATCGGGCCAGTTTGGTGTAGTGCGACGTGGCAAATGGCGTGGATCGATAGACACCGCCGTCAAGATGATGAAAGAGGGCACCATGTCCGAGGATGATTTCATTGAGGAAGCCAAGGTCATGACCAAGCTGCAGCATCCGAATCTGGTGCAGCTATACGGTGTGTGCTCGAAGCATCGACCCATCTACATTGTCACCGAGTACATGAAGCATGGCTCGCTGTTGAATTACTTGCGGCGGCACGAGAAGACGCTCATTGGCAATATGGGACTGCTGCTCGACATGTGCATACAGGTCAGCAAGGGCATGACCTATCTGGAGCGTCACAACTACATCCATCGAGATTTGGCGGCCCGTAACTGTCTGGTGGGCTCTGAGAATGTTGTGAAAGTGGCAGACTTTGGCCTGGCCCGGTATGTGCTCGATGATCAGTATACCAGCTCTGGCGGCACCAAATTTCCCATCAAATGGGCACCGCCCGAGGTCCTCAACTACACGCGTTTCTCATCGAAAAGTGATGTGTGGGCTTATGGTGAGTGGCACTATCTTTGCCTCTAATAATTCTGTTAGTAATGTGCGATATTTGTAGGTGTTTTAATGTGGGAGATATTCAACTGTGGCAAGATGCCTTATGGTCGGCTAAAGAACACTGAGGTTGTGGAGCGTGTGCAACGTGGAATTATCCTAGAGAAACCAAAGTCGTGTGCCAAGGAGATCTATGATGTGAGTAAAGAATAATGCGTTCTGCTTTTAGTTGTTTCCTCTAATAATATATGTATCTCTCTGCCCTTTCAGGTCATGAAGTTGTGCTGGTCACATGGTCCCGAAGAGCGTCCCGCGTTCCGTGTGCTCATGGATCAGCTGGCACTTGTGGCCCAGACGCTAACCGACTAATCAGATCATGCACTGAACTTAAATTACAGAAAGGCATTAAGCATAAGGAAAATATATATTATACATATATAGAGATTTATATATAAGTTTTTAGTTAAGCGAAAGCCAGTTTATGATTATTATCCGCAAACACCACTGACATATATGGATTATTTGGATAAAAAAAGAGCCAACAGACAGAGAGAGACAGAGCTCTGATGAGCGAAGCGAAGCGGCGAATGATATCATTATGTTAACTGTTAGTTATAGTGGAAGACGCAAAAACGCAAATGCAAATGCAAAACTAACAGTCACATAAAGTACATATAGTAAACTGTAGTTAATAGTCCAATTTTTGATACATATTTCCACACACGAAAAACATAACGATAGAGGATGATGATTGAAACAGATTAAGATATATACGATATATATATACATACATATACCATACCATACCATAAATGATAAATGATATGTAATTGTGCTTTTTTAAAAATAGCTAGCGAGAGAGAGAGAGAGAAGCGCATCCATGTGCTAATTAAAATAATTATGAGTATCTCTTAAAAAAAGGAAAACAAAAGAAACAAGAAAACTGATTAAGCATTAAAAAAAAAACTAAAATATAAGCCTCAAGTCGAAAGCGAAATGTTTTGCACACACACACACACACAAACGAACACAACTGAATGGATGTATGATCCAGGATCCCCGAAGGATGGATGGATGGACAAGTTTTATAGTTTAGATTTTTATGTGTGCGCCTTAGCCTAAGTTTTGTGATTTATTGTTTAATTTTTTTGCATCAGATTTTTATTACATTTACGATGATGATAATTTCTCTCCCCACGCTCAAAGTATGAATCAAAAAGTACGCGACACGAGACATTTATATGCTTTATATTTTAACTGAATTCTTATGTAATTTTTTTTAAATCAAATCGCTCAAATCATGCCTACAAATGATTTATATCTTTATACATATTTTACTTGTACTTTTATGAAGAGTTTTACTTAATTAATTTTATCATTTTGTATAAGCAAAAATACACACACACACACACACATACAGAAACAAAACAGAACGAGAGAGAAAACAAAAAACAAACACAAAAAAAAATTCGAAATAAAAATGTATGATGAACATTTAATATTTTACTTTATTTTATTTATTTTTTATGCGAGAATTTTGCGACTGCATTGCACAGAATTCGGTTTCACGAACAAAAATATTTGCGAGCCAAGAATCCGAAATACCAGAGAACAGAACAGAACCAAACATGGAAATGCAACAGACACATAGACTTATGCCACAGACTATATACAATATATTTAGAGTACAACCAAAATCAAAATCAAAAACCAGCAAAACATCAAGTAAGCCAACAAAAAATAACACCAAAATAACCAAAAGAGAAAAACCAAAACATTTTCTACAACTTTTGATACAAGATTTTGATACAGAAATATATATATATGTATAAACTATGTGGTAGCCAGTAAGCATCCTTTGCATGACTATATATATATATACATATGTTTATGTATCGGCAATCGGTAACAGATAACAGTTAACGAGTATATATGTTGTCTGTATGTTGTGTAGAGCCAGATGATTCCTTATGCCATTCCGCCGTATTCTTGGAGTAGTTATCTCGCAATCTATCCAGACTAAAAAACACACCAAAAATCAACATATGCAATCTACAAATTACTCTACTATAACGATACGATAAAAATACGCTGCTTAGTTGATTTCTTCCGCCTATGCATATAGAAAACTATACATATATGTAGTATATGATATGACATACAGAATACAGTATACAAAAGCCCCTTCCCGAAGAAACAAACACCAAATCATCAACGTGATATTGCTAATAAAACAACCGAAATCAATGGTAGTAGCTGTGGTCTTTTACGATATGGTTGTTGGGGAAAGGATAAAGGATCCTTTCGGTTAATAATCCTCTACGAATGAGAATTCTGCGACACTCTTTAAAGTGGCGGTGATGTGTTGATAACAATATTCATATCACAGCCAGCTTTGAGGAGCGTTGCTGACTTTCCAAACATATGCGCCTGGATTCTACCTATGTATATAAAAGGAGATAAGGAGAAGTAAAGGAGATCTATTGGGCAATACTTGATCGATCTCTATATTTTCTTTCTTTCAAATGAATGAGATGTAACAGCGCACAACAATTTTAATAAATATACGAACCGTATTCTCAAGTCTCCCAAAGACGCCTCAAAGTATGCAATAGTTCGGTTTTGAAATTGCGAAAATACAAACATTTTTGTGTAACACATTTTTAGAGCTTTCCAAAAATATTATTTCTAAATTTTCACCGCATACTCTAAGGAATACTTTGAACGATTTTGGGTAAGCGAAATATTTATTAGATGTGAATTTATGGATATATTTCTCGTATTACAGTGCTTTCCATGGAGAACAAACAGAAGCCACATAAACCCTTTTTTATAGATTTGCAAATCTCATAGAATTCTTTCGTGTATATTGATATATTATTCCAAATTTATTGTTCATTAAAAAAAATATATATATCTGTACTTGGAAAATTTTTTCCATTACCAAGTTCTTAAAAATAAATACAAAATAATCAATAGTTGCTGTGCAAAACCGTTTTTCATGCCCCACTAGTCACGTGTGTGGGTGAAGGTTGAAACAAAATATATCTGGGAGGCAGGGGAAAGATCAGCCAGAGGCAAGATCTCGATCTCGAATTACATAACCACAATCGAGCGGCATTGTTTGTGTACCCACCGCCATAAATAGGCCTACAAACCCAAACGAATAATCGCAAATCAATGAGCCATAAAGATACAATTGAACTGTGGGCAGATGGCAAGACGGCGATGACGACGACCTTATCCCCAAGATGAGAAGTTCACAAAACAAATTAATAGTATGAACTTCAAGTCTTTAATACTTAATTTAATACTATAAACAAATTCGTCGTATTTAATTCAAAGTATAAATCAAACTGTATGAAAATACTAAAATAATAATATTTATTATTATTAGACTCCGAAATTCGCTTAAGAATAAACATTGCCGGTTAACAGGCTGCCCACTGTTAAATCGCTTACAGCTGACTGTTAAGCGCTCTCTTACTAACGCTCTCTCTCTCCCTGGTCTGTGTTTTGAGCGTGACTGTTAAAGCGACTGTTAAAAATTTGAAACGAAATGCAAACGTTGACGACAGCTGGCTCAAGTTTTTGTTCGACAGTTCGACAGTGCGGTTCAGCGCATAAATCCACCTACCAATCTATCTATAAAAATCAAGCGAATTGTAATTATAATACCTCGTAGTATTCCGACCGTCACTCCAAGCAGTCTGTCACTTGAACTCAATCAACGAAACAAACGAATCAACGAAATAATAAATCAAAAAAATAATATAAATAATAATAAATAATATAAAATATCTTCGAGTGTGTGTGTGTTGCTGTGTTATTGTCTTCCGCAACGAACAGATGGTTGCAAAATCCTAACAAATCAACGACTTATCCTCGCAAGGACTGTCTGCCACAAGAGCTGCTAGCCGCGGGCTAACGTGAAGTTTTTTATTGTGCAAAAGAAAGTTGGAAAAAGGCTACAGGAGTACGTACTCCACGGCAGTCAGACAGACAGACCGACGACTCTACTATTTTGTGGTAAGGATAATACAAAAAGTAGGCGTTAGCCAGACCCTCAGTCGCAACCTCAGCCCATAACCATTGCGTGTTGACCTGAAAGTTCAATGACTGACGCAAATGCAGGGCCAGGTTGTCTAACTATTGGCATTTCCTGGTTCAGACAGACAGACAGACCAGACAACAAGTCAGCTGTGCCTGTGCTCCTCCTCCTCCACCCTGCCATTGTTTTGTCAATGTTGGTGACCTCCCCCATATCGATGTCACTTGTTGGCATAGAATAAATGTAACCTCCTGTTCCGCAGGTTCTTTTTAGTACCCTGTAGTAGAGCTGTTCGAGCCATGACATCAGCTCTAATAACCGGTCGACGAGTCGACCCAACTCAAACTCATTTTTCAAAGTCAGTGATTATGAGAATCGCCAAACCAACAAAAAAAAATACTGTAAACAGAAATGTTGGCAAAGAAAAAGATTAAATAAAAACAAAAAACGAAATATCTCCACTGAAGCTCGCAGAAGAGTGAGAAAAGTGCAAAAAATAAATAAAATAAAGAGTAACCACAGAATAAATATTTGTAAAATGATATAACACGTATTTATTGTATGTGCTGTATGTTTCATATGCAAATTTTTAGCCGTGGTGATCTCAAGTGGATGGATGGATGGATGGATACTCCCTGCCCTGCCATATGATATCGTACTTTGCTCATAAATCATTGAAGCGGAAACAGCTGTCCCATAAACTTTACAAAATACAATAATTATTACATTACCATTTTGAGATTTAACGATTAATAGGGCTTGGCGGCTGACGGGCTTTCTAGCATCGAATTCTAGCTGAGAGTTTGCCAAAAATGTTGCCCCTCAACAATTTCCCAGCTTTCTCTTTGGGCTGGCTTGTGGTCTGATCAGTTGTTGTTGTTGTTGTTGTGTGGTGTGGCAATTGGAGAACCAAAACACGTTTGGAGGTAACTTAATTAGATTTGGAGATCACAAACTAGTTCATTCTGCCGCCACACCACAGCTGACGTCAGATTTCGTGTGTGCGCTTTTTATCAGCCATTCGGAGTTTCGGTTGTGTTTCTTCTGTTTTGGCTCTGAATCTGATTGGGTTGTTTTCCTCTCTTCTATTTGGCCTTTTGCCGGCTGTTCACTTGCTTTCTGTTGTCTGTTTTTGGCTAGGGAATTGCTCAACTTGTTGTTCGCCTTTTAATTAAACTTATATTGTTTAAGGCGAAAAAAAACAACAGCAACAACAAGAAACTGTTAACGTAATAGAGACAAAATGCGAATTATGTTCAAATGGCGGAGTCATGGAGTTGTTGGATGGATGGATGGATGGATGGATGGATGGTGTGTGGGTTGGGCTGCTGTCTGGAAACCCAATTCCGAACTGGCTTTTTTCGGACAACTCAATGTGGGCTAAAGGAAACGACAGTCACCCAGCAGCAGCAGCAGCAGCCGCCGTATTTGGGCGTAAAAGTCTCTGGGATAGACGTACGTCCGTTCGAAAATGTCTAAATTTTGGGAAATGAGCTCATGTTTAATTCGCCATTTGGAGAGCAGCGCGAAATGAAGCCCGAAATGAACATTAGTAGTAGTATATAAGAGTGATTGTTGATGATGTTGGATACCCGACAGAAGGTGGGTTTGCAAGGGTATATACGGATTGCCGATTATACGATTTGATGGACCATGAAATGGTCCATCCATTTTAATAGTAGTTTCCAGATGAAAGTCACACTTTCATGTAGAAGCAAATCGATCATTATGTGAACATATTTTTCATATTGAATAAAACTAAAGAGAATTTGTTGAAAATATATTAAGCACAGCATGTAAATCAATTCAATTCTATGAATTTCTCTTACATCTGATGAGTGTTTAAATTATTCATTAATATCTAATATTAATTAATGTAAGTGTTAATTAGCATTTCCTATAAGGAAAAAACCATAAAAGGTAACCCAGCTGTTAATTAGACTTTATCAAGAGGATAACCCTAACAGGGTGTAACCCCGATAGATAATATATTTTATATATATTTTATTAACTATTTAAGGGTATGAAAAATCATCAAATATGCCGCAAAATGCATGTACTCCCACTTTACTACCGTTACACTTAAGGTGTTTATCAGCACTGATGAAGTTCAGCTTAGCCAACACTACTTTGTTCAACACTAAAGAAATTTGAGCCAATTTTCTACACGAAGAAAATATCTGTTTCATCTTTTCAACATCCATAATATGAGAGCTTTCTATCATAAATTTGAAGATTCTTTTGCAGGTGAAAAACGGGGTATTAGAGAGTCGATTTATAGCCAAAGCTTGCGTGTCTATTCATATTTTAGATGTTGATATCATAAATTAAGGCTGACGTGTGCTAAATCTATTTGATATGATCGTTGGGTTGGTGCTTTTGTTATCGTTACGGGTCCACGGCTGGGGTCAATTTTGTGTGGAACATCAATTTAAATCAAATAAAATGTAAACGTCCAATGAAAATAAACAAAATCAGTGAAGGTCATCCACATGGCAGATAACAAAATAGGCGAGCAATTGAATGAGTACTAGGTACATATCTCGTCTGACAAGATTCGATTTGAAATAACTGTGACACAGTCTGCGACTGAGAGAGCGAGAGAGAGTCCCCCTCTCTGTGTGTCAGTGGGGGCGTCAGTGTTTCTCCTTGCCAGCCGGTTTTATTTAATATACATATGCATACAGATGACCCCCTGGCCGTAGAGCAGCGTAAATTATCGAGCATCACCATCTATAATTTGATTACTGGAAATCTGATCGCTGGCATGCAAATTTATTGCATGCGCCAAACGCTCTATTAACTTGATTAAATGCGACCCTCTTTGGCCTGGCCTGGCTTGGCTCTGGCCACGAAATTCGAGACTAACAAGCCGTAGGCAGGCAATGCAAAAATGTCTGACAGATGTCTGACTTCTGTTGGGCTCTATGTCTGGCGTCTGATTCATTCATGAGAGATTTTTCTCTGCCGTTTTTCTCGACTGATCTTGGCCCCGAAACCAGCAACAGCAATTGAATAAACAGTTTTCGTGTGTGGGTTCCACTCCATGATGTAAGAGTTCGCCTTATAAGCCATGAGCCCCGTCCGACTGATGATTGCTTTAAGAACACTGAACAATGCTTTTTGCTTTTTGTTTTTCCTCTGTGGCAGTTGCATGCACGAGGTCGGGGCCGAGAGTAACAAGTGCAGGACGTACCTTTTTCCCTTTTCTCGACAGCTCCAGTCGACGGCTTTATTGGCCCTGTTAAGAGCTACGACACGCCCCCTCTCTAACACACATAGTCTGTAATTATTTACGTAGCAAAAGAAAACACATTTCACGGTCATCCCCACTCGCGCAAGCTGCACGCTTTTCTTTGTGGGAGTTTTTGGGGCTTTAGGTTTTTAGTTTTTGTTTAGTTGCTGCCGTCCCGTCCCGTCCGTCATGCAATTGTCGGCCATAAGTCATTAAAAGTAATCGTTTTGTTGGCTTACATGCCCCACAAAATGGCCAACATTAGCACTTGGCATAGTTTTTAGCCCCAAAACGAATAGTGGAGTGGAGTGGAGGAATAGTCCCAAAACCTTGTTGACCAGAAATCACATGAATTGGTAGGTAATCCCACTGCCAAACAAAGTATCGATTACACTCCCCCACCCCACCCGATGGATGGATGGATAAACTGGAGCGGACCAGCTCCTGATACCAAGAGGCACCAAGTCGCTGGCTGGCTGGCTGGCTGGCTGGCTGTCGATTGGCAACACTTTTGGGTGCGCTGTGAAAAAGAAGGTCGTCACCCAGGGTAGCGCGGCAGCCAACGCTATGCGACGACGACGACGACGATGAGCCTACCGCACAGTTATTGCTATTGTTTGTCTTTCGCGTAGGCCAACAAATCCGTTACGTTTCGAACAACAACAGCAAAGTGACAGCCGCCACACGCCACACGCCACACACAGGCAGTGCAGGCCCTTACCCAAACGCCTTGTCATTAGCCACCAAACAGCGCCGTCTCGTACCTCGTACTCCTCCGTGGCGCTGGAATTGGCCCAGAAAATTCGAAACAAAACGAAGCCTAAAAAGGGGTATGGCCGATTGATTTTTGTGTCATCAGCTGATGGGCCTGGGGTGGGGTTGCAGCTGGCGTGGAGTGTAGGAATCTGGTTTATTAGGTTACTCGAAAATTTAGGGGTCGTATTGTACATATCACATGTGAAAGTTAGCTCCGCAACTTAAGTCAAATTTGAGTATAGTCCTTACAAAACAATTTCCACAAAACTTTGAAATTCTTTGAATTCCTAAGCAGCAGCAGCAGGCAGCAGACAGCACCATGACCAAAGAGGTTCTGCCACCCGCCCCACGAATTACAATTAAATGTGATTTAAACGATGGATTTTTGCCCTTTCTTTCCGCAGAAGGTATACTTCACCAAGAGGCAGCAGGTCGATCCGGGACCCTGTGCCCCACTGCGCAACATACGAACACTGAATATGGGCGGCAACATTGAGCAACGTCCCTGGACGCCAACGGTGCGTACGGGCAGGATTGCCGCAGAGACGGCCACACCGGGACCAGCCATTGTGCAGCTACCCACACTGATTGGTGAGTCTCAGTGTGAAGGTGGAAGTAATCCAAGGAAGATCAGCTAAAGGGGTTTACCTTTCCCCTTTGCAGGCAGCAAAGTTCCGGACTCCAAGAAGAAGGGCGCTCCCTCGTACTCATTTGGCCATAAGTTGGGCAGTAAGTACGAGACCTTTGGCCCCGGACCGGCGCAATATAATGTGACGGGCTTGCGGGCCAAAGGCAAGGATTATCCACGTGCAGCCACCCTGCAGAGTCGTCCCAAGGAGCTGTCACGCTTCTCGAATCCCGGACCCGGTGAATACAACGTACAGCCAGCTGCCAAGGCAGTGATCGATGCCACGCCCATGTACACGTTTGGCCAGAAGCCGCCCGATGCCAAATTTAGCCTGATTCCAGGTAAGTCTCGGTCTGCCTCTTCCGTGGCATATCCGCGCCATATCCGCGTGCTGGTGGTTTCGGTGTTCTCTTTGTTTTGAATGGTGTTTTTGGACATATGGATTATCGGTGTACTATAACGGGTTGTTGTTGTTGTTGCATGCGGAGAGATCATCAATCAATCAATCAATCAATCAATCAATCATGGAGCGAACTGCATTATTGTATATACTAATGAACATATTAGGAATGACTGATTTATATCAAGCAAAACTTTCATCTTCATTCAATTCAAGCAGTGCGTAAGTTGCTTTCTCTCTCTCTCTTGTCTACCTACCTACCTTCCTCCCTACCATGCTCTGCATTGCTGTCTCTTTCTAGCCACCCACTCAGTAGTTAAAGTACAGTAGTCTTAGCTGCTCTCTCTCTCTCTCTTGCGCTCTCTTGCGCTCTCTTACTCTCACTCTCTCTCTCTCTCTATTAGTACTCTCTGGTTCCGTTGATATGTAGTTGTTCTATAGCTCGTTGCTACGACACTCTCCTGTACCGTTTGTCGCATTTTCTGTTGTGTGTTTTTTTTTTATTTCCGTGTTTTTTGTTTTGTGTGTGTTTTTGTTTAATTTGATTTTAATTTGAAACGTTTTTCTCTTTCAAACGAATGATGATTGCCATCGACAAATAAACGACCACAAATACTCGTATATACCATATACCATATATATGATTTATGATATATATGTATGGTAGGTCCCAACCATTATCAAGTGGTGCCGCTTGATGTGACCAAGCGGCGTGCACCGCGCTATTCCTTTCGCATTAAGGTTAACGTTTACATTGTTAACAATCCAGGTAACCACAACTAATCGACCAACCACCCAACCACCCCATACTATCCCTTTCTCTCTCTCTGTGGTGCTGTTAACCCGCCCGTTAATTATTAACCCAACCCCCCCTTCGATCTATAATCTGTACTCACCCCTAGTGCGTAGTTACTCTCTCACCTTTAGTTACTACTAGTTTGATTTGAGTATGTTTGATTTATGTTTTATTAACACCTAACAGCTCCGAATAGTTATTGCCCTGAAAGGGTCACGCAATCAAAAAAGAATGCGCCACGCTACACATTCGGTAGACGAACTAAAATCCAACACGATCAGTCTACACCAGGTAATGCTCCCCGTCCAGCCAGCACCCAACCCTCTACCTAACCCCCCCACCCACCGGAGATTCGAATTGGAAAATGTATCAGTACTACCCCCCCGCAGTATCTAGTATACCGTTTCTCTCTTTTGGCACTCCACCCCCCTTTTTGTTAATTAGCGTAATTGTTGAATGTATGACATGTGTGTCTATCCCACCCCCACAGCTCCTGGCGCCTATTGCCCCGAAAAAGTTAATCCCAGCAGGACGCCAGAGTTTAGTTTCGGCATCAAGCACCACGAACAGAAGCCCGACTATACGCCAGGTACGCCCCCATATCCCATACACCAATTGCCCCTACACCTACAGTTAGCTTTCGAATTGCACCGATTATAGCGCCAGGCAGCTACAAGCCCGAACATTTTGGCCAAGAGCACATGCCCTCGTACAGTTTTGGCCTGAAGACCAAGCACACTCTGGTCAGTGATACACCAGGTAAGGCTTCAGGGTTTCTGGCTTTCTGTAGATATCAGAAATTTGATTTATATTGTTGAACCCAGCACCCGGTGCGTACAGTCCCGAAAAGTCAAAGCTGCACAGTACACCCGCTTACACGATCACTGGCAAGGCCACGCACGACGTAGTCGATGCCACACCCGGTGAGTAGAGCCTCGGCCCTTGAAACAGTCTACGCCCTTGCACCTTGACTGCTTTCCACAACCCGAACTCACACCAGAACTCACACGAAACCCCATTTGTTGTCTCTGTTCTTTCTTGCAGCACCCGGCGCATACGAACCCGAGAAGTGCGTGCTGAACAAGACGCCAGCCTACACCTTTGGGCATCGCGTGAATCTGGCCAAGGTCAGCGATACACCAGCACCGGGCACCTATCAGCCGGAGAAGGTGCGTCTGGATCACACGCCCTCATACACGCTGTCGGGGCGACATGAGCTCAAGTGTACGAGCGAGACCCCAGCGCCCGGTTCGTATGCACCGGAGAAATATCGCGGCGATCGTACGCCGGCCTTCACCTTCGGCGGTAAGCACGAACAGAAGCTCGACAGCTCCACGCCGGCACCAGGCGACTATTGTCCCGAAAAAGTACGGCACGATCACAATCCAGCTTACTCATTCGCCGGTCGCCACGACCCACACAAGACAAGCGACACACCCGCCCCGGGGGCCTACGAAACGGAAAAGGTTAGGCAGGATCACAATCCCTCGTTTTCTTTTGCCGGTCGCCATCATCTACATAAACCAAGTGATACACCTGCTCCTGGGGCTTACTCTCCGGAAAAAAATAGGCAAGATCACAACCCCTCCTTTTCGATGGCAGGAAAACACATTCAAAAGATTTCCAATGGTACACCAGCTCCTGGTGATTACTGTCCTGAGAAGTGTCTTACTGACAACGCTCCTTCGTATAGTTTTGGAGGCAGAAATGATCCTAAGGTAGAGAATAACACCCCTGCGCCTGGTGACTACCATCCCGAAAACTGTAGACAAGATCATAATCCTTCCTACTCCTTTTCTGGTCGTCACGATCTAAATAAAGCAAGTGATACACCTGCTCCCGGAGCTTACTCTCCGGAAAAAAATAGGCAAGATCACAACCCCTCCTTTTCGATGGCAGGAAAACACATTCAAAAGATTGCCAACGGTACACCAGCTCCTGGTGATTACTGTCCTGAGAAGTGTCTTACTGACAACGCTCCTTCGTACAGTTTTGGAAGCAGAAATGATCCCAAAGTGGAAATTAATACCCCTGCGCCTGGTGACTACCATCCCGAAAACTGTAGACAAGATCATAATCCTTCCTACTCCTTTTCTGGTCGTCACGATCTACCCAAAAAAAACCCCCAAAAAAAAAAACCCGAATAAAGCAAGGTGATCTGATACACCTGCCCCTCCCGTCGTGAGCTTAGCCTCTCCGGAAAAAAATAGGCAAGATCACAACCCCTCCTTTTCGATGGCAGGAAAACACATTCAAAAGATTGCCAACGGTACACCAGCTCCTGGTGATTACTGTCCTGAGAAGTGTCTTACTGACAACGCTCCTTCGTATAGTTTTGGAGGCAGAAATGATCCTAAGGTAGAGAATAACACCCCTGCGCCTGGTGACTACCATCCCGAAAACTGTAGACAAGATCATAATCCTTCCTACTCCTTTGCTGGTCGTCACGATCATTCCAAGCCCAGTGATACACCCGCCCCTGGAGCTTACTCTCCGGAAAAAAATAGGCAAGATCACAACCCCTCCTATTCGATGGCAGGAAAACATATCCAAAAGATCTCCAGCGACACCCCAGCTCCTGGTGACTATTGTCCTGAGAAGTGTCTTACTGACAACGCTCCTTCGTACAGTTTTGGGGGAAGGAATGATCCTAAAGTAGAGAATAACACTCCAGCCCCTGGCGACTACCATCCCGAAAACTGTAGACAAGATCATAATCCTTCCTACTCCTTTTCTGGTCGTCACGATCTAAATAAAGCAAGTGATACACCCGCCCCTGGAGCTTACTCTCCGGAAAAAAATAGGCAAGATCACAACCCCTCCTTTTCTATGGCAGGAAAACACATTCAAAAGATTGCCAACGGTACACCAGCTCCTGGTGATTACTGTCCTGAGAAGTGTCTTACTGACAACGCTCCTTCGTATAGTTTTGGAGGCAGAAATGATCCTAAGGTAGAGAATAACACCCCTGCGCCTGGTGACTACCATCCCGAAAACTGTAGACAAGATCATAATCCTTCCTACTCCTTTGCTGGTCGTCACGATCATTCCAAGCCCAGTGATACACCCGCCCCTGGAGCTTACTCTCCGGAAAAAAATAGGCAAGATCACAACCCCTCCTATTCGATGGCAGGAAAACATATCCAAAAGATCTCCAGCGACACCCCAGCTCCTGGTGACTATTGTCCTGAGAAGTGTCTTACTGACAACGCTCCTTCGTACAGTTTTGGGGGAAGGAATGATCCTAAAGTAGAGAATAACACTCCAGCCCCTGGCGACTACCATCCCGAAAACTGTAGACAAGATCACAATCCTGCCTTCTCCTTCGCTGGTCGTCACGATCTTCTGAAGGCCAGCGAAACACCCGCTCCTGGAGCCTACTATCCGGAGAGGGTGCGGCTAGATCACAATCCATCGTACACGTTTGATGGCAAACACGAGCCGCATGCCACGTCCGAGACCCCGGCTCCCGGCGACTACAGCCCTGAAAAGGTACGATTGGACCACACACCTGCTTACAGCTTTGGCGGCAAATACGACCCCAAGGCGGCGAATCATCATCCTGCGCCATGCGACTACGCCCCCGAGAGAGTACGCCTCGACCATACACCCGCCTACACAATTGCAGGTCGTCCGACCCAAGAGCATGTGACACACACGCCGGCGCCGTGCGACTACTTTCCGGAACACTGTCAGCCGTACAGCACGCCGGCCTTTACCTTTGGCATGAAGCTGACACAGGAGCGCATCAGCGATACACCAGGCAAGTGGCCCAAATCGTTCAAGTACTCTATACTCTGTTGCTCCGTTGCTCGAGCGCCAACACATAATTTATGCCCCGGCCCTTACAGCACCCTCTGCCTACGAGCCGGAGAAGCACAACACACAGCACGCACCAGCGTACACCTTTGGCTCGAGGTCCGAGACCAAGGTATCCAGCGATGCACCAGGTAAACCCCACTAGGGTGATACACCAGTAGTCCCAAGTTTCCATGTTGCATGTTTGTTGCCTGCTTTCTATTCCGCTCTCTAGCCCCGGGCACCTATCACCCCGAGCACGACCGATTCGACAGTTCGCCTTCGTATAGCTTTGGCCAGAAGACGCTGGTCATGCCATCCCTGCCAGGTAGGTGTCTCCGTTACCCGCTTTCGCTTGGATTGGTTGAGGATCCGGTACAATGCTATTTTTGTGTGTATTTTCTTCTGTTTCATGTTTTGCCTCACACACATTTCTGCGTTACTCTCGGTTCTGGCCCCATGCTCCTACTCTATCATCTGTATCCACTGCACATGTATCTCTGTATCTCTGTAAATATTCACCAAACAAACCACACACTAGAACATAGAGGCCCCTACATTGAAGATCGCATTCTGCAAAGACGCGAACGACGCTTGGCAAGTCCCGGTAAGATAAGTCTAAGGTTTAAGCCACATCCATATTCACGTCCATATATCCATATCAAACATCAAAATATGGCAAGGAATGCGTCTGATTTCACGCTCTAACCAGATCTAATGGGGCGTGCAATCCACTTGGAAATGGATTGTATTAACTCCAACAGGTCTTAGTATCGCAAGGTTTTCGCAATGAGGCTGTTGCTGCTCTGCGTAGTCCTTTGCTGGCTCTTTGCCCACACCGAACACAAAAGGAACTGTAAGAGCAATACCCCAATTTCAGTGGCAATCGTATGCTTGATACGTCTACTTAATTTATGCAGATGGTCGGAATCTTGCCTGCTTGACAAACAACAGATACAAGCACGAGAGTTCTTGTCCCGGACCACGTCGCATCTTCTATGCCTTCCATCGCATCATCTTCAATTGCACGAAAGTGTTTACGAAATGCCCAAAGATTCACAGGCACAACGAGTACCCAACCAAGAAGTTGTGCCAGGATGATTGCTACCATCACATGAAAATACCTACGACAAAGAAACCAGCCAATAGCACGGGCAATAGCACAACTACCAAAGCACCAGATGGTGACAAAAAGGGTGGTAAAGGTGACAAAGATGGTAAAACTAAATCGGGAGGTGATGATCTTGGCAGTGGTGAGCAATTTAGGCGTGCGAATCCCTACATATTTGTGGGTCGCCGAGGTGCTGGCACAAATCACAACCGACAGTCGGTACGTGCCCTAAGTAACATAACTCAAAGGCGTGGAAGGAGATCTAAACGGTTTCATTAGTTTGATGTATGAAATGAAATGTTTGCAATGGAAAAAGAAATTTAATAGAATGGAAATTCAGATGGAATTAGCTAAGGATTTCCAAGCAGCCTAGAATTAAACTAGAGACACTTTTCTTCTAGAGTTTCTACCCAAACCTAATTGCAAATAAATTTGTCGTAGCCAATCGAATTACATGCCAACTCCCAGTACCCCACGGAAAAGCCACAGTTTGCCATAGTTCATGCTCGTAGCAGCAAAGATGTGGGCCCCTCAAATTCTCGTGTGTCTGCTTCTCTTGTGGGTGAACACCGCTCCTGGGCGCTCCTCCGATCGCTGCATGAAAGCGAATCAGGGCAAGCGACTGACCTGCAAGGGTAGACCTCAACTCACCTTCTATTACGATGCGGTGGGCAAGAAGTGCGCCTCCAAGAGAAGCAAATGCCTTTCCAGCCCAGTGGCCAATATGTTTGCCACTAGGCAGTTGTGTCTGGCCGAGTGCCAGCATCATATTCTGCGAGATTGAGACGCATTCGCTGCACTAGGGACACCACCTCATTCACTTCACTAGAATTAAAGCACACGATTTGTTTGTAGAGAATTTTGGTTTTGAATTTTATTTTGTAATTATCCTCGGCACAGTGCGCAACAATGGGGAGTGCAGCAGCAACACGAACACAGGCAACACGAACACCACCAGCACCAAAACAACAACCACCACAACCACAAAGACATTTGTCAATGGGGTGGAACAGCCAGAGGTGATCACAAAGGTGAATGGACACTCAGAGCTGCTTGCACTTGCACCCAACACACTGAGCAATGGCAATCATCAGAGCAGCACAAAGGTAGTCACTACGACCACACAAAAGCAATTGGTCCATGGCCAGGCAGAGCGTGGCAATGTGAAGGTGGTGGCCAGCGGTAAGTCGGATGCCAGTGCCATGAAAGCGGCCAGCGCCAGTACCAGTACAGTGGTGCAGTCGGACGGAGCCATTGTGACCAGTGGCAGATCCTCGCGGATCAGCACAGTCAAGTACGCTGTCGAGGCGAGCAGCGTGCAGGAGAAGATCATCAGGTAAAAAACAGCCCCCAAAGCAACTTACTTACTGTTCTGTTCTGTGTGTGTGTGTGTATGTTCCTTTGCAGGCACATCATCAACTCAAGCTCATGCAACAACTAACCCCAAGCCATCCAAAAAAAAAAGAAAAAACACCAGTCAAAAAATGAGCCCAGCCATTAAACTGCGGAGTGTCCGTTACTCTGTTCTCTGTGCTCATCCCTACTCATCCCGATCTCTTATTTTGCCTCCCGACAGCTCCTAATGTCTACAAAATACCTACCATCTTGGGCAGCAGCAAGGAGGGTAAAATACGCTCCGCGCCGGCCTATACAATGGCTGGACGCGAGAAGCCGCCACTAATACCGGCGCTAGTCATGCCCGGGCCCGGCTACTACGACGGAGAGTTTACGGCCATTAAGCCCAAGCCGCCCATATATACAATGCGCGGCAAATACAAGTTTGGAGTCGACGATGCCAAGCCCGGTCCTGGTGCGCACTGTCCGGAGAAGGTATGCCAAATATAGGGCTACAATTTAATTATAATTAAGTACAAACACCGACCTGCCCACAGTACTGGGAGAAGCGTTCCACTCCAGCCATATCCTTTGGCATTATGCACTCGCCTTTTGCTGGCAAGCCGACAATGCACATGATACCCGAACGCTATATACAATGTATGCTGGCCAAAAGACCCGACAAGGGTTATCCCTAGATTGCACCTCTTAGCTTGATAAAATTTCCAATAAATACTTGATTAACTCATGATGCCATGCCCTTTCTGGTTTGGTTTTCTATATCCCATTCCGCAGATAAATCTCTCCCATGTGCCTGCCTACAGTTTTGGCATCAAACACTCGCAGTATTTGGGCCGTTTGAACGAGAAGAACACCGACTATGACTACAGCTTCTCGGGCATCTGCTAGAGCGTGCTCCAGCCTATCCTCGCTATGCTCAAGATGGTCTTCGACAACAACAGAATAGACAGAATAAACAGCTTCCCTATCATACCTAATACCTTATGCTACTCGTATCACAGACTAACAACTAAGTTTTATCATGTTACTGAAACCTAATTGTAAGTCGAAAGTGTTGTGCAATGTTACAATTGTATTTTAAGTATATAAAGGAATATTACTAATAGCTCTGCACTGCTGTTTCCACTTGTGTTTTCACGCTCCAAGTAGAGCTAATGGTGCGTGTAATTACCAAAGGTTTTTCACTATTCACAAACAGTTCAAAACTTTGTTCCGAATGGGGCGGCTTTGGCTGCTCGCTGTAATCCTCTGCTGGATCATGGCCCAAACAGAGAACAAAAAACATTGTAAGCTGTTACCATTTCCCGGTATCAATTCATATAATTGATTCAACCTCCATTCAGTTGGCTTGTATGATGGCTGTGTGAAAAAGAATCTGTACATGCACGAGAGTGTCTGCCCGGGTCCATATCGCTTCTACTTTACCTTCCATCGCGTACTCTTCGACTGCATTAGGGTGCGCACAAAGTGTCCACGTATCCACAAATACAACGAGTACGATACCCTCAAGGAGTGTCAAAGCGATTGCGCCGAGCTTATGGTTGTGCCAGAGGAAACCAAAGATAATGGCAATGAAACAACTACATAGGGAGAAGGAGGAAAATCAAAATGACAGCACCACCACATTGGCACCAACACGACGGTGATTTTGATGCAACTTTTTTTTTACTTTAATAAATACATATATGAATCTCCTCGAAGATACATACATACATGCTAATATTTTAATTATAATTAATTGTGTCCACTAATTACACTGTCCACGTTTTCCCGGCCGCTGGGGGTTAGAAAGGTTTGGTATTTTTTTTTGGTTTTTGTGGGGGGGGGCCCGGCGGGGGGGACCGCCCGGTGCTGCGGGGGGCCCGGGCCTTGGTTGGTTGTTTAGCCCGGCCGGCGTCCGGCCGCCCCGGGCGTTTTCTTTGTGCCGCACCTTCGTCCCGGTGGCACAGGTGGGCCTACGTTTATCTTCCGCGTTCACCGCGTGTCGGGTGCGGTCCCCGGCCACGGCGGTGGCCGGGGCGTGGTTATTGGCAAAAGCCAAAAGTTCGTTTGGGGCATCTAAATTACGTATACGCATCTCATTACAGAATTTGCCTTTGGTGGATTGTTGGTGACACAGGCCCCCTTAAAGTTGTGTCATCTGCATGTGCATATCAATGAAAATTAAAAATTTTAAAAACCATACAATCTAAATTATTTTTTAGTTCATTTAAACGAATTTGTCAGCGGGAGAAGTCAAATGAAGTTCTTTGCCGCAAACTACTTTTTACCTGGAAGACTCGGAACTTCGTAAAATATTATAATTATAATAATATACACGAATATACGAAACATTACACTTTTTCGCAATCGAAAACTAGAGAAACATGATGTTTGGACGCTGCTAACAGCCTGAAAAGAAGTTCGAATGTGAGTTTGGTCAGGCCAAAGGAAAGCAAAAAGGGGTACAATCATTTTTGTTACTCTGGAATGGCTTGCAACGAATCTATAGTACGAGTATAGGAACGAAAGTAAAGGAATAGAAAGGAAATTCAACCATAATGCGAGTACAATCATCGATAAGTACTATTATCTGTGTGTGTGTTTAGTGCACCTCAATACCAATTTTATTGCTTTTTTGCTTTTGTATTTAGAACTAAACAATTTGCAAGACTCATATTATAAATATAATTCCAAAGAGCTGGCGTTGGGCTCACGCTTTAGTTTTTGGTCAGCTCGATCTCAGCATGGAAGCAGGACTTGCCCTGGAAGGGAACAGAAACAAAAACAAACAATTAGCATAGAGTAATATCATCCACAACTCATTGGAAACTCACTGTGTCGTGCTTGATCTCTGAATCGATGATCAGGTGGCCACGTGCCATGCTCAGCATGGCCTTGTACTTGGACAGATCCACTGTATGCTCGTTGGCGCAGACCTTCTCCTCGGCCACGGGACAGGAGGATGGGGCACCGAACAGCTTCAGCATGTCCTTGGCCTCCGATGGGGCCTGATCCATGGCGGCGCACAGATCCATCTTGCCCTCCTTCATCACAATGCCGTCCTTCTGCACCTTAAACTTGGCCACGGCCGTGCCGAAGGGCTTGTTGATGATGCAGCCCGAGGGCACCAGTTCGCATTTCTTGTTCAGCTTGATGTTGAAATCGCTGGCCACCGTCATGATGGCATCATCGCCGGCACAGTTCTCCATCTTGACCAGCTTGGCCTTGTAGCCATTCTGCAAGGATACAAAGGAAGTCAATGACTGAATGACCTTGCCAAAATGAAGCTACTTACACAGGCCAAGGCCGCCTCAAAGGCCACGCAGCAGAGCAGAAGGAGTAGGGAAAACTTACGCAGCATTCTGGATTTGTTCGAGTTTCCAACGATTTTGGGGCAACACAGGATGGCCGTACGGGTATTTATATGCAGATTTGTGTAATTATTTGCGCATTAATCGGTGCTTGGCTATGGCGAAGCGATCGCTGATCGTTCGGCTCAATTGATCGCTGTCCGCCCACTGAGCAGCCAGACAGTCAGCCAATACAAATTAGACTGCTCTAAATACCAGTGCCATAATGGCCCCCAGCCCAGCCATTTTTAATTGCCACACGGAATGTCAGAACAGAACCCCAGCTTACCATGTAGATGGATCTCTCGATAACAGCTCAAATATGTTTGCACCCAAACTGTATTTATAAAAGACGAGTCATCATGAAGTTCATCTCTTTAATTGATAAGCCTTCCATTCACGTGTATTTTTTGGTCGCTTGTGCAGCAACCGATTTGTATGCAATTTAATTAGTTTCATAGTTAGAGATACAAATGATTTATGGCCTCCAATTTCGGAATGACAATTAACCTCTTTGATGGCATGCAATCGCCTACAACGCTAAAACTCAGTTAAAGTATTTAAATTATAAATTCAAATTTGTAACCCACCATACCTTGTGCACTCTCTACCAAGCTGATTGCTATAAAACGCCACAGTGGCGTTCTTAAGTATTAGCACAGCAAAATAATTACAGCTGACTGCTTTTCCATCGCGATTTTTATAAGAAAAATAACTTTATCACATAAATTAACCAATTTTCTATAAAATTGGGTAATTTATTTCAAAAAATTGTTGCCCAAAATAAATCCTACAACACATTTACAATGTTTATAGCCAGACCATCAAGCTCTTCAGTCTGGTTTTTTGATTGCTAAAGTCTTATATTTCACTTAGATATACTTATGTTTTGTGATGTATGTTTTTGGTATAGAAATTGGTCTAAGATAGGGGAGCAATAGTATTTATTTTCAATGAGTTACATACATATGTTCTCTATATTCGACCTTAGTTCTAGTTCCGTACAATATTCAATTTCAAAATTCCTTTAATGGTCGGCAAATCGCTCAAATTTAGAAAAATGAGAGAAACAAGTAAAACATAGTAAAATCATTCTACATTTTCTCAACGAAGGAAAACAGTTATCTGAATGTAAAATTTACACGAGGCAAATTGTAGGTAATATGCCGGGATAAGTAGATCATGTCGCTTATTTGATTTCATCTGATATCTGATAAAAGTCATCAATAACTTTTAAAAATTTTCAATTCTTTTTCTAAATTAACGAATTTATTTCCTAATTTAAAAAATTCCATTGTTATGACTACAATTTCCAGCGATATGGCAGCCCTAGTTAGAAAGCTAAAAACTCCAGCAATATAAATGTAAGCCGCACCTCACTAAAGGTACATACATATATGACATGAGTAAACATTAATGGTATATTAACATTTAAGGTGGATTTTACCTAGCATGCGCTGAATCATATTTTAAATTTTCTCCTGTTGTTCATACCTTCTTTTGGCTTGCCAGCAACATGTTTTCTAGCCACATGAGGCAGCAACATTTGGTTGCTGCCTTACCGCCCTCCCAAAGTATCTCACAAATAGCAAATGTATCGCGCAAGAAACAACAGCAAAAAAGTGCCGAATTTTTAACTGAATTCCGAAGAGTCCGTTAATAAGAAATATATAATTTTAAAATATAATTTACTAAAATTACGAAATTAAATTCTCAAGTAGATATGTAAATTAATATTGGAATTATCAATATATATATAATTATACAAAAACAAGTTGCGCCGCTGTCAAAGTCGATCGTCGGGGAATTAACGCGCGCTCTCAACGTTTTCGGTACGACATTTATATGGTGATCTGAGCCAGAACAGACTGTTCAAATTTGTCGACGACGCAGTTAACTTAATAATTATCTGTTATTGAAACTCTTCTCCCCCACGCAAGAAGGTTTTATTTAACACGAAAAATTTGAAAACGTAAGCGGTAATGGTAATATAATATAAGCAAAGTTTAAGCTAAAAAATGTGGTTGGTGCCCGCAGAGTTTTGGGCTGGCCACGGAGAAAACAAGTGATGCATCAAAAGGTGCTAAATAAATGAGCCGCCTTTCAAAAATAATAATAATAAAAAAATAAGCAAGATATCGATGCCAGTGCGAAAGAGTGAGAGCGATTGAGTGAACAGAACAGAACAGAACAGCTATACAAATGCAAAGACAAATACAAATACAAAGTCAAATACAAAACAAATACGTATCAATGTATCTACAGGTGTGTTGGGTGTGTTGAGTGTGTTGGGTGTGTGGTGGGTGACAAAGCACCAAGAGAGCAAAGCAAATGTGCTATGATATTGAAATCTGAAATTCGAGAATGCTGTTCAATCGCAAATAGTAGTATCTGAGTATCTGAGTATCTGAGTATCTGTGTTGTATCTGTGTGTGAGCCTGTTTTGTGGTTGCGTTGTTGCTCAATGCAACATTCAAAACCATCAAAAAACTTCGTTTAAATCGGTTTATGGCTATTGTTGTGTGTGCGCATTATCAGTGACTTTTTTGGGTGTGTCTGTGTGTGTATTATCAAAGCCCCAGTATTCCATTGATAAGTGAGCAGAGTTCTTGGCTGTATTGATGCGTGGCATACGTCAACGGCATTCCGTTTCTGTCGAGAGAGCAAACACGGTCACCACAACCCCAGCTCCAAAGCTCCAAAGCAGCCCCCAGGTATCCCCCCTCTATATTCATACGCCTCTGCCACGGCTCTTCGATTATGATTCATCGCTTGGCCGTGACTACCGGTGAATACTCGTGGTGTGGTGGTTGTTGCTATTGCTGTGTCTGTGTCTGTTGCTGTTGCTGTGGTTAACTGTAGACTGCGTAAGATTGTGAATATCTTCTACAATTTATTACACTATTAATCATCAGCCGGATATTTGGATAACTTCTTCTAGCATCTTCCGCAACTCTCCAATGTGTGTGTTTCCTGTTGGAGTTTTGCAACCAACAAAAGTTCACATTTCTTTTGTTTTCTTCAGGCCAAACACTTGTGATACCCTATAAAGTGGGGTATGATGGTTTCTTAGCAGATATTGGAGCAAAGATCAGCAGCATGATCCTCTTTTTTCATGCCAAATGCCAATTAGTCCATAAGTCTTTAATTTATTCGGCTGCAACTTTGAACAGATCTTTGTTTTTGGTGGATTTAGTGATCACACAATATCGTAATAGTATTTTATATAGCTGTCATAGTGCAAATCAGTCAAAAAACAAGTCCTAATGAAAAAAACTTCTTTCGTTTTAAAGATAATTCAACATTAAGGGTTCCTTAATATTCCAATCAAAAATGTTTAAAAATAGAATATCTATATATTACATAGTTGTACTACTATATTTAGTAGCTGCCATTCAAAATATTAGATCCCCCCGCCCCCACACAGAGAGTATCAAATGCTTCGTTAATCAAAAGCCCGCCCTCCTTCTCCTTTCTTGTTTCGGCTGAAACAACTTTCTTAAACCGGTTCTTCTTCAGTTTCTTGACCAACAAAATGTTGTGTGATAAACAACAAAGCAAAACAAAGCCCAAAAAAATGTATATGTATATGCTGGCTGCAAGAATCGAGCAGAGCAAATTAATTTCCATTACAAAACGTGACTCAGGATTGCCTCTCTCCATCTGCATTTCCATTTGTGTCTCTGGCCAACAAAAGTTCTGATCTGATGTGATCGAATCAGAGGCACATAACTCTTTTGCTCTCCAATTTGGGTCACCGCTGCAATTGCTGGCTGGGACCCAATTTGTTTATTGAATACAGAACAGACCTCCTACAGCCGTGCCCCCACAACACGCCACCCCACCCCATCCCATCACAATCCATTCCGCTGCAGTTCAATCTGCAGACACTTGAGATCGGTTGCTCCATTTGGACTTCAAACGGCTGGCGGGCTGCTAATTGTAGCTGCTGCTGCTGCTGCCGTCAATCACTGCTGGAAAATGCGAAAAAGTGAGTGGAAAATTGAGAATGGCAGGAGTCATATCAAGTCATAAAGTTGCCTCTCAAATGGGCGGGGGGAAAGCGTCCAGGAAGTGCATTTCATTTCTGGCCAATGGGCTGCATAAACATTTACTGGGAACTCCAATTCCCCCCACCCCACCAATTCGCCATGCAAAAAACATTCCATTCCGAACAACTGTTGTGTTGTGATAGCGCAAGGAAAATCAATAGGAAAAGCCAACGATTCTTGGAAATTTTGCCCCGTTGCCCATTGGACAACTCTTTTTCACACCTTTCCCATTTTGCACAACATGGCACATTAATCAGGCACGGTTTATGGCTCGACCATCCATGGATACGACGGCACTGCACTTGCAACATGGTCATGCCAGGGACTGCAACAGAACACCGGACTCCAGCTACGTGTCAAATTTAAGCCAGAGCTGAGCAGGAGTTGGGGGAGTACTCGTAGCTGCAGCTCCATTACGAATAAATTACCTTGTCTACTAGGATGACTAAAAAGACTTTAGATACGAGCTTAGCACGAGATCCAGCCTTGTGCCCTGGATGTGCTCTGACTGCTGCATAAAGTGGATAAACGCAGGGCCATAAATTTGATATCCACAAGATATCATCTACACGGGAGAAAAGATACTAAAAGGGCTTCAAATTATGAGCATATTTATTTTGGGGAAAATTTCTCATAATTTCCACTATTTATTTACCTTATGTAGCATTTATAATGAAGCACGATCTCCAGCTTGCTGGTACATTTTTTTTGCAGTGCACATAATTGAATTTAGCAATTACCTTTAGCCATACATAATTCAGATCTACCCCAACGAAAATCTTCACGAGTCTAGTCTGGCTTTAAGTTCCAAACGTTGCCATTGTGTTTGTTTGTTTGTTTGCTTGTTTGTTGTTGCGGTCGGCGACGGAACATTCTATGAATGGATGGACACGAGTGTGGGGGCTGGTCTGGGGTCTCTATATCCGCTGGTGCTGTCTGCTGCTGTCAGTGCTGTGCAGTGTCCCTGTCCCCCACACCGAAACAACATAAATAATAAATGGACAACGACAACAAATATTTTTGGCCAGGCCATTGGAGCTGGCTGTCTGGAATGGGGCGTAAGCGTTTAACCATTCACCGGGCCATAAATCTTAACAAAAGGCAGAACAAGCACTCCAGCTTTCACCTGATGCCTGATGCCTGGGGAGAGAGAGAGAGAACCCTAGAAGAGGAGCCTCATTTGCAGCAATCCATTCATTATACTATGCATAATGTTTTTGTTTGTTTCCTAGTTGGGGGGAAAGTCAGTTAACCGGATTTGCAGAAAGTTTTGCCGGCCGTTATAAAGTACTTTCAAGTCCAATAAGAAGCAAAGTGCAGTGCAGTTCTGAGACTCGCATCAAAATGAGCAATGAAACAATTTAATCTCGCTTCCGTTGGGAATAAAGCAAGATTGGGGGGGGCTGTGGCAGCCTCTCTACACGTCCATATCGATTCAGCCAATTCCAGCGAATAATTCCACAAGAAAGGCAGCAAACATAATATTGAGTAATACTCGTACTCGTATTTATTTTGCCCATCCATTGAGTGCACTGGAATTTTTGGGTCAAGGCAACGCTTTCGCATCGAATTGAGTTATTTATTTATTAATCAGTCGAAAACACAAACAAAACAAACAAATTAAACACTTGTCGGCTATTAAATCTATATCACATTTTCCACTATATTTCAATAAGTTTGCGTTTAGTGGCAGCTGCCGCTGCCCCCCAAAACAACTTGTTGTCGTTGCGGTGGGCAGGGTGCCAACAATTCAATTTCCCTGCCCAACAAGCGTGTGTTTTCATTGGATTTGCTTGGCAAAAGCGAGACAAATACTACACATGGATAACAAGGCAGGGAAAACTTTTATCATACTCGTATATATTTATTTGAAAGAAAGTAAACTAATAAATATGCATAGCTTTAAGTGGGCGCAGGGTTGTATGTAGAAGATATAATTAAAGAGAGGGAACTATAAATATAAAATGGTACCAATAAAAACATATTTATATGATATATATATAATATCTATATAGTATTCCCTTATGGATCAGAATTATTTACATCTGCTTAAACTCGGGTAATATTATTACTGCTTGGAATATTTATTTATCTTCAAAATCATAATTTAAAGTAATTCGACACAACTTCTATGTCCCTAGTCACTTATAGTCTAGTATTTTATTGTTGCATTCGTAGGACCGACCTTGACTTAGAGCAATGCAAGTAGATAGATGCAAAAGTTGGAAATGTAATGGCTCACTCACTGCCTTTTCCACGGAGCTGAAAATACTAGCTTTCCCTGCAATATTTCTGCTTTAAAGCAGGAAAAGCAATTGCTTAAATATGTAAAAAAAAATTAGACTATCATGAAATATAGAAACAAAGCTCAGGCTAATCCAGAAAGTAGCCTTAACGCTTCAGCTGTCTAACATTTCGTATACCTAGTATTAGCAGTATTATATTTCAGCCAAGGTTTCGCTTTACACTTTGGGTTTTCTTAGAGGCTGACTTACACAACCTCCGCCGACACTATAAAACTATCAAAGTTTCCCAAATGACTCATCCAAAAGATACATTTCCGTTAAGCGTTTTGTCTTGGACGTTATTATTGCTGCTGCTGATGCTGCTGAAGCATTTACTCTCGTAATTTCACTTTTATTTCCCCTGAAATTGGCGACTTTCTTTGCGGGTTACGTAAATGCCAACGCTGCCAGAAAGAAACACACATTTTAATTATAATTTGTACCGCTTCTGCTGGGGATTTGTATTCAGTGTTACCTTAGGTTGATATCTATTTCCTAGCCAATGGGGTTTAAGCCGCTGTGAAGATAAGAAATTGCAAAACACATGGCTAAACAGCCTGATAAGGTGGCTGCCTGGTTGCCTGGTGACTGCTGGCTGCTGCCTGTATGTATCTTTTAGATACAGATACCCGCAT